GGGCTAGCAGGCCTGCAGCTTTCACCCTGCTGCGCCTTAACACACACAGTGTCACCCATGTCACGAGTTTTGCTTGTCCGCAGCTTGAGGTTCAGTTTCCCCCAACCCCCTGCATCTATATCCTTGAAACTTGGCAGGCTTTGTGGCCTCAGCAGGGACTACCATCCATGCAGTTTTCACCCCCTTGTGCCTTAACACACACACAGTGTCACCTATGTCATGAGTTTTGCTTGTCAACAGTTTAAGGTGCAGTTTCCCAGAAACCCCTGCATCTGTCTCTTTGAAACTTGTTAGACTTTGTGGCCTCAGCACAGGCTACCATACCTGTAGTTTTTACCCCCCTGTGGCTTTACACACATGTGACATGAGGTTTGCTTTCAGGACTTTGAGGTGCAGTTTCCCAGCAATCCCTGCACCTATCATCTTGAAACTTGGCACACCTCATGCTCCCAGCAGAGGCTACCATCCCTGCCACTTTCATTTAAATCAGGCAAAAGACAGCAAAGTTATAGATATTTAATTGATTCCCCATTATTCCCTATGGTCGAATCTCTGAATTGGCTCCAAATTGGATTTGAATATTCTGAAATGATTCGGCCAAATCGAATCAGAAAAACTGTGTGGAATCTCTGGCATCCAAACCTGCCAAATCCAAATCGAATAGTTCCCTATTCACAAAGGCCTAATAGGTACCTGCTCCGCAGAGTTTCCAGCGAGCCTTATTCTCGGTGCACAGGTTACCTGACTTCTGTCTCCTTCGGGCACACCACCCACTGGCACCTGTGCCTCCGCATGGGAAGTGGCTCTGTTGCTGAGTTCCTCTTGGTTCCAGCTCTGGCTCCTCTCCCTTTCTGGGGGAAACACTAACTGAGTACAGCTCCTTTTATAGGAGCTCAGTCAATCGGTAATTTTAAAAAATGCCGCTCCCCAGCGCCATGGACGCTCGCAGTGCTGGCAGAAATTATGTAATCTCCCCAGCTGGTCCTGCAGCATCCGGTAAGTTTCTTCACCTGGTCTTTCTCCATAACGGTCAATGGTTCCCTGTTACACTTGTATCAAATAGGCAAAGGAATTTCATTTTTGTTTACTCCACTTAGATACTCGTGTGCCCCTTCTCACTCTAGTTCAGTAGTATTGAAACAAATCACATCCTATTAGCAAGATGGGGAAATGTAACCTCTTTAAACTCAGACAAGTTGAAACAGAGCCCCTTTCTCATTTGGCCCTTGTATATTTTTTCAGAGTGAGAAATGTGCATATACGCACCCAGACAACCTCCCTACCTTGAGACTTATGGCCAGAGATCTTGGTTTTCTCTGCTAAAAAATCAAAAGTTCTCTGATCAAAAATAAAATACCCGTGTTTTTCCACAATTAAAATGAAACACCACTATATGTATAAGTATCAGTTGAACAAAATGCTTTATTTATATATTTACAATTTTAAAGTAAATTGGAAGCCTACCAGTGCCTCGATCATTATAATAAAATAAAGTCTAAATACAGATATATTTTGGTGTTTGATTTTGGTTTTTTTATCATTGAAAATCAGAGCTCCTCCTGCTCCCTCTGCTTGCTAGGATGCGGGTCCAGCTGAGACTGTCCCCCACTGCTGCTTTGTGGTGCTGAGCAGCCCTGATATGCTGGTGCCCTGTTCATGCCATTGCTCCTCACTCCCAAACCACAGTCCCCCATGCCCCTGCTGGTGCCCCTCACTCCTGGCCTGCAGCTCCCCAACCCCACTGGTGTCCCTCACTCCTGACCTACTGCCCTCTACCCCCAGGTCCCAGTCCCCCAGTATGTGGGGAAGAAGGGGTATGTGTCGGGCAGGGGGTGTGTGGGGATAGGCAACACAATGGGCAATTCGTTGAGGAAGGATGGGAAAGCACATGCCCTGCCAGATAT